TCATCCGCATCTTTACAAGTAGGGGTTGATCGCCAAGATTCCCTTGTGAACCTGCGACCATAATTTCGTGGCGCGCGGTAAAATCCGAGAAAACTTAATACCTGCTCGTAAGTCTTGGTATAAGTAGAGTCGTCCTTAGGCTCGACGACCAACACCACAGATGCAGCTCTCTTAGTCTGGCAAGCAGTACCTAAAAATACCCCATCCAGGGATCGAACCCACGACCTCTCGCTTACCCAACACCTGCCTCGACGGTACGTATGCGTAGGCGATACCATTCTTCTCGCAATAAGCCGGCACATGGGAAATGACATCGACCGGGTACACGTCAGCGGCCAGTAGTATCATACCCTTTTGACCTACAAATTGCATCATAATTTTCCAACGAGTGTTGAAGAAATATATAATTTCCTCAGCTAAGCTCGGCACACGAATTTCGGCACAGCTATTCAGAAACCAACGAAAAATTCCCAAATTTCTTCTCAGAATTTTCATATTGTCACCAACACATGTAGTTGACCATATGCATATTCCCCCCTACTCACCCTTCCTAACAGCCTTAAGGACCTCAGGCACGCCGCGGCGAATACACTTTGACGTAGCAGCTGATCAGCATCACGCTAGTGACCACACTAACTTAGCATTGATTACCTTTCTTGACTAGCTTCATAGCGCGAGCATTCAACTTGCCTCCCATAAGAGGATCAGCAATAGGAGAGACGTAGAGTGTAGTGCTAGTAGAAGGGGCCTCGCTGTCAGACATAGTAGTATACAACCCAATGAATATGCTGTTGCAGCAGCACCCGAGTTCGAAACCCACCAACGACAAAAACTATTACTGCATATAAGGAGAGAAACAGCAATTCAGAAAAAAGTCAAAGTGCTCAGTGATCAATGTCATCACAGCTGATGGCGCATAAGCTCCCACCTAAGAAAGGTCTGAGCGTGCATGTTGATAACATGCGAAGATATTTCCATACACATACACACATAGTAAGTGATAAAAACTATAAATGCACATCGTGTAACACTTCGCTCCGCTGTGATCGAGATGAAAAAAATCAACCTGGATTTGAGACGTGGCCTTCCTCACGTGTTGAGTCCCATGTGCATCAACTCTCAAGACTGGCATAAGAAGGTGATGCGCGCGGGAATATGCTACTACAGCTTAGAAGTCGCAAGAAAGTTTTCAATTTCCTCTGCAACTCGATTGGCCTCCGCCACAGCGTTCTTACAAACCTGACCAGAACTTACCCCTGCATTTTTCAAAACTAATATGCTACCTGATTCTCCTCAGCGGATTCGTGCGCCTCCGTAAAGTTATTACCAATTATCCGCGCCCCTCGAGCATCATCGCGAGCCTTGGCCGTTATACACGACTAACAGGGTCAAAATATGGGAATTTCTCTTTGAACTCTTTTACGACTACACCGATTCACATTTCATACATCCCGCAAAAAATCATCATCATGTTATAAAGCAAAATAGCTCGAAAATAGCCTCTGCCAAGAATCGAACCCGCGACCATCACAAACAATAACCTTTCCTCCAGTCACCTGCGCAATCTCCTGATTGGTTTCTCCGAACCACCTGAGTAGTGCTGCTACATTCAGTGGGTCTTCGCATTCAGTTCGGAGAACCTAAATTACAAAAACTGCTAAATCAAGCAGAATGTTCGCTCTCCTCAGCTGAGCTCGAAAGTTCTTTACCAGATGAGAATTTTAAGCAGGCATGCGGAAACAACTTGGAAATTCATCAACAGCACACAGCTGGCTATGTGCATATTCTGAGTGGAAATAGCTGACCATCCCGTTGCCGATTTCCAAACCCAACTGACCTTGCATTCATGTGCCCATTGCAGTTCCCTCAGCTCAGCTTGAGATGCCTCATCAGTGAATGCGCACGCAGTGAGATTCTCATAAACCGGACTGAGATCAACGGTTGGAGGCGACTTCAAATATGCTATAGTGCTGGAAACCTAACAAAACCTTGTCCTTCTTTCAGAAATGATGAAAGCTCACCAGCTTAGCAGCTTCGTCAGAGCATGCGTGCCCCGACTCGAAATGTATCGACGCTAGCCTTCGCCATAGACCTCTGATAGCATACCTGATACAGAGTTGCTTGTTCACAATTCTCGATATTTGCAATAATAATCCCATATCATTGGGCATGCTCCAAAAGTCTAGTAAAGAGCGTCGAGGTGCTTTACGAGTCAGACATACATCACCATAGTTATACTAGCTCACTTAGGATAAGAATAGTGTACCAAGTATTACCATTGGAGGAAGGTAGAATAGGTCTTGATGGCTATCAATCTAGTAGAGTCGTTCATCCAGTTCTTACCCATTATAGGAATCTCCTTATCTAAATAAAAGCCACACAATCCCATACCGTAACTGTCCGAAATATGCCATCATTTAAGCAAGTACCACCATGGCCGTCCACACAGGATAAGTTCCCCAACGATTCAAAAATTCGGGGCACATATGCCACAGGTTGCCATAGCTCTACAAGATACCCCATATTCACACAAATTACACCACCAAAATCTACCATCACGATACGATTTGATGCTATACTCCCATCTCAAGAAAAACCATAATCCAATATGATCCACAGCAAGCGCGTTCGAAACGCTACCTGTGAAAACTGCGCGACCCTTAGCGTCCTTCAACTTAGCGTCTTTAGGGTCTGCTGCCTTCAATGCATCACGAGCCTTCACTACTCTGTCCATTATCTCCGGCCGGAACACAGAAAACTGATACCTTAACTGAGTGCATAGTCATAGGCAATCTCTCACTGCTACTTACATAACGCCATCTTTAGGAAGGTTCCGCTGCCTGGATTCGAACTTGGCTTCATTCCGGAAGAGAGAGTACATGTTGTCACTCAGCATCCACCCCGGAGTTATTTCATTAATCGCGGGAGACAAGCCGTTGATATACTCACTCGATTCGTTCACCAGACTAAACGGCAACTAAAATTAACAATTTCATACCACATTTCTTTCACATCCTGCCCAGACCCACCCCTATCGCTTGCGGCAAACAGCTCACTCCAGTAGCAATAAGTGAATAAGGCGCGTCCACCAAATGAAAGGGATACTTTATATTTGAAGCCAGCCCGAAGAACGTGCCCTCGCCTGGCCAGTTCTCCTGGTCGGGCGCCTTCCCAGTGTGGTTCGAACCAACGTTAGCACCATGACCAACATTGCCCCTACCGGCAGGCCAAAAACACGCTATTAGTAGTGCTTGATGATGGAAGCCTACGAAGGGGCCGACCAAAGACGCCGTGACCTCCCCCTGAAGACATTATATAAAATATAGATAATATTCGATACCACACCTCGGCCACTCCAGAGCCCGGCCCGATGATGGAGTCGAACACTTTCCCATGCCGTTCAACGTGGACTGTCGGACAGAGTACTGACCCTTCTACCACACCGAAAGTCGCTACACTGGCGCCTAAAAAGGAAAGAAGAAAGTACAAAATAGTCCCCGCAGTGTCAACATCACTTTTCTGGAGAATAGCAGTGTTAAGACTGCAGTCTTCGACGATGTTGAGCTCAAGTAAGGAAGAGTTGTGAACTCTCGAATTCACAACGCGCACGTGGCGGCCAATATAGCTGCCTTTGATAGAACAACACGATATAACCTAAGTGTCCATACCACTCCTCGAGCGAATCATCATGACCCACCTCAGCGTTCTCATCGATGATCGTCCGCCCTTGCCCAGCATCTTCAACTGCGTCAACGTATGCATCCACGGCCGCATGATATGCATCAGATTCCTTCCTGTTCGAGACCACCTATCACCACATAATTCCTAACCACAGCTCTAAACCAACCTTAGCCGCTATTTCGATAGTAAGCTCAGCGAACTGACGTGTATGGCGACTCCCTGTCTCCTCAGCCAGGGACATACTATGGCCATTACCATATTTACAGTGGGGCTCTGTTGACCCTTCTACCACACTGCAACGCACAAGAACTGCACCTAAAGAGGCACTATAGACACCTATGATGAGTAGGGGTCTACCTCGCCGTACAACAGTATTGGCAACGAGGCCGCAGTCCTTTACTAAAGTGCCGGATTCTACTACCACGTCTTCTAAAAAGCTGTTTATGATCCCACATGGAAGTTGACGGCGACTATCACCAATACTCACCTATACCGTAAAACTCAGAACTGACCACCCAGTTTCGAGTACCTTGGACCCTTCCTCAACTGCAAGTTCAATTCTACCTTGGAATGTACACCCCCTAATCCTGCCAACAGCTAGGGGGGAGTCACCAATCACCATAATTTCGCCCCAGTCCTCAGCAGTACACCCTGAGCCTTGCAGCGCTGCTATCTGAGTACATACCAAGTCGTTCGTTGCTCTCAAGTCATCAAGACCGACCTCATCAACAGTGAGTGGCCGCAGCCTCCTAAGGGTATTGGCCTCCCTCAAGGCTCCAACGAAGGAAGACCTCGTAATGCACTCCTTTACGAAGTCTGCAGGCGTAGATCCACTACTAAAAGAGGCCGCCGCTCTGGTCCTCGATAAAGATGTCATTATAGCAACACCGACAGATCAGGCAAGGTCGGTATATTCCACGGATCATAATCGATCAGATGGGCGCGCGCGATTACAACAAAACCTGAATTTTGAGGCACAATTCTTCGCGCTCGCCATTATGATCGATAACCTAGTAGAAATGATAAGTCGATAACTTCCACAGGCCCCATTGAAAATGCCTCGCGAACCAGGCCGACCTTATCGTGAAGAAGACCCCTCAGGTGGCCCCTCGGGTCACCATAGGCAAGACCATGGTCATGGCGATCTGGAAGAGGCCGCCTTCGACCTTTTTCGCCGTATCCTTTTTCCTGAATCACACGAACACCATCCTGGAGAGCACCACACGGAGTATCTTGCTGAACTGTTGAAGCTTTTGGACAGTAGAGGCCACTCGAGGGAGTTTGAAGAGGTCTTAAAAGAGGTTGAATTTTACCATCCTGGAATCATAGACCACTTGAAACATGATGATGGTCATGACTACGTCCAAGGGCTTTATCGTCGCCACACTGAGGAGCCCTTCGACCCCAGCGAGTGGGAACTAGATAGCGGTGTGGGGGGTGAAGCAGCAACCCACTGGTGGGACAATACGCACAGTCATGAGGACCACCCCTTGAGTGACAGACCAGAATACCACTCTTGGGACCACAGGGCAGAGGATCATTACTGGTGGCATGAGAAGGAGGGCCACCCTTGGGAGGACCATGGTCAACACTGGTCACATCCGAGAGAGGACAATCATTGGTTGCCTAGTGCGGAAGACCATCCCTGGCACCAAGCGCACGATCAACGATACGGTGAGTTTTGCATCCTATCGTGACCCACACTTAGAGAACCAAGCTGAGTTCACAGCGCCACCAAGGAGTTTCCTTTATGACATTCGACCGTCGTATACCGTAGGAGAAATATGCACATGTGTTGCTTATAATTTGGTGAAAAATATGAGGAAATTTGGCGAAATTTTCGATTGCTTTCTGAAAACTTCCGCCTGAGTTCGTATATAAATTACTTTTGGAAACTCCAAAGCTCAGCTGAGGGAAGCGATTGCATATATTCTTCGAACACACCTTTTATCAGATCGACCCTCATCCGAGGCCATGCCCTTTCGGTCCGTTGGCGTCGTCGAGGACGAGGGCAAGAAGGCTCGAGTGAATTCCCGCATCACAGCTTACGATGACAATAACCAAAAACGGGTGGTTTTATCCATGTCGGGTAAATCATCGCGAAGTCTCCATCTCAGAATTCTCCTGGTCTCCCGAGGACCGCGTCTACTGTCGCCAATACCAATCGCATTTCCTCTCTGGACATGGTCAACAGCCCGAGAGTGACCATGAAGCAATCCACGGTGGTTGTGTTCATTGCAATTGTACGTCTATAGCTAGTTGGCAACTTTAGTGTTGCTTCTCAGGTCTTCGCTATAATCGTTCTTATCCGTCGGGTAATCTGCTCCACCTTGAGACTTGTGTATAATCGTTCAGGTGCGTTCGTTGAGCTTTGGCAAAGAGAGAACGTTGAGTCCAGTGTAGGGTGTACTTTCATGTCTACATTGTTGTTGTTACTGTTACCAGTGTCCACATTATCGTGTTACGTTTAGTGAGAAAATATGCACATGGTGATAATATGCGAATTCTGAGGCGATTTTATCGCCTCCTGTACACTTCTACCAAAGTCGTATCATCTATCGTCAAGGGCGCACCACATGACGACGCCGAGCATATTTTCCCATCTAGCTTTGAAGTGGTTTCTCTGACGTCATGATAATGCTACTGTGACTCAATGCCTTCGGTTGCGTTCCTCAATTTACTTATACGAATCGTATACCAAAACATGCGCAACTCGTAGAGCTTAAATCAATGCTCAATGAGGGTCTCCTGTGCTTACTCCTCGGGGCTAGTCAGTCCGTCACAAGTCCTGTCCTTATGGACGCTAGCTACACACTGCAACACCCAATACAGCCTCATGACGCTCTAGTGCTGGTTGATATCGAATGGTCTGTGATATCACCTGTTATAGACGACCCTGAAGTCACCTGTAAATGGCGAGATATTATCACTGGGAATACCACGGAAAACCAAGGCACTATGCTGAGTCACTCGCAAGTGACCTGTTCTTTACCGTTGATCGCTAATGTGGATTTGCTATTGACTGAAATAGTTGCCAACAATGGTCTCTGGTACATACGATATGAAGGGTGGCAATCGCGAGTTCCAAAGACAGTACGCGTATATGATGCAAATCTAACATCCCAATCCATGGTCAACTTTCCTGTGTCCATGCCAAACAGGGCCTTGCCCATAGTAGACAGCGGCTATGGGCTCGAAACCATCCTGGTCGTGTCTGGACCTTTCAAACCCTATGTGGGGCACTGGACGATCGGGTGTGCCTTTCAGCGAATTGCTGGACCTCAGGTTGACGTGCTTGTCGAGGGCCATTTAAACGGCGATTTTACGGAGCTCGAGTGCTTATTACCGTACAATTACAGTCGGTACGAGTACATCCAAAGTCTTCATATTGTCGCTATGCACTCAGAGACAGGGAGTGAGTTGGCCCGTCTGTCCCAAGGGAGTCCACTGCCACTCCTGACTAACGAGGTTTTCACAATTTCGGGTTCCTCGTCTAGATGGGGCCTCGCTGGTGTCGACCTTGAAGTGATGGTTTATGGTCGGAGTTTCCCTATGGAAGATTATGTTGGTCTATTGTGCCACTTTGAAGGACTCGATTACACTCGAGCGGTTCGGATCAATGAAAGCACAATATCGTGTCCGACCCCGGGCCAAGGCCAGTCTCCTGGCGTTGACAGTAGACTGACGATACTGTACGATACGTCAGTGCAACCGGCAGTTAACTGGCGACCTCATGAGGAAGCCTCAACGGTGGTTTATCCAGCCACTAGCTATGACCAGTTTGAGGTACCTCTGGTCACGGCATTCGAACCTTTCTCGAGGTTTCTTTATCCTATGTCGCATAACGACAGTCGGGAAGTGAAACTCACCCATCAGAGGGAGTTGCCTGTTATTATGCTACCACCAAATAGCCTCTGGTGTGAATATTCACCCAGCTTGGGCAGCCCTAATGTTGCCAGAACCGAAGAGAACAAGACAGTGTACTGTCCGGTTCCTACTCTCCACAGTTCGACCAACATCACTGCGATAAGTGTCCACTATAGTATCAACGGAACACATCAGTTCCAACCAAGGGACACCACTGGCAGTGTTTTACGGTTCGATATCGTACCGCGGGCCCAAGTCCTAAGGATAGTCAAGAACAGCTCTGTGGTGCTGCAGATGGCACCACCCTGTGGGCCACCGAAACGATTCGTCGCGGAAGTCGAGGCGCTCAATGTGGTGTCTGGGGAGGACTCTTGTGCGTTGGTCTTGTCGCCGGTTGAGGGCCTCTTGCCTGGACGGCTCACGACCATGCCGAGCGGCACGTACCAGTGCAATGTACCCATTGTGGTCAGTGTGGAACTCGAGCAACGATTGGGGACTTTCCCCGCTAATTCGAGCGATATAATTGCTCATGTGGTTGTTGGCAAACTGGAGAGCATCGATCTGCAAAATGACGAGGTTAGGAATCTCCTGTTGCGGGGAGTAGCAGAAGTTCCCATTAGCATCACTACGAGTAACAACACTGCCGATACGACACCTTTGGCCCTCATTAGCCATGGGGCCCGCCTACTACACGAGAAGTGCGTAGATGGTTCATGGAATATGTGGAAAAGGACCACCGGAAGGCAACTCAGTGGTCAACAACAACAGCAGCAGCGTGACAGGGTCGATTTTGCTGCTAGTCGTCGACGTCTGGTGCATTCGAACTACACAATGCCGATTGAGGAAGCCTCTCTGGATTGGCTGAAGCATAACGTATCCTTGAAGGCTGTCGTGCCGGACTGGAGCTTCCACAACGGTGGTGGAATAGTCGTTCTCACTGGAACATTCGTCCCACCGTCAATTTTCAACTTCTCCGCGATACTAGTCAACTTTGGTCAAGGCGGGCCGCGGGCCTCAGCCACACTGATGAACGAGTCCGCGATCAACTGCACGGTCCCTGCCATGCCGGACAACTTCTTCGACACGGTCCAGTTGAGTGTCACAGTGGTCTTCCTTAGCCCATTCAACAGTACCCATGTTAATATTACAGCCCAAGGGCCGGGTTTGGTATTCAGTTACCTCCCCAATTTAGCCCTGGGCAGTTTGGTTCCTCGGACTGGTCCGCCTGGTGGCCTTACTAATGTCACAATGAGAGTCATGTTTTTCGCCAACTTTTCCACTGGCCTGGAGCGCGATCTTGGTCTGGACTTCGACTGTGCTATAGGGACGTTCAGATCTCCGGCAAGGTTCCGCCTCGCTGACGAATCCAGTCTGGCTGGGTATGCGATGAATAGAACCTACGAGGTGTGGTGCTCAGCCCCCATGGCCGGCCCAAGGCGGGACGTCTGCGTTCAACTGGTCCCACGTTTGGCGAGGTCCATTGAAAACCCTCTCCAACCGTGTAACAACACTATGGGGCGGCATAGGCTAGAATACAACTACTATCGACAGGTGACAACCTCAGAAAATTCCTCGTTGAATACGTCGTCATCAGATGCCTCGAGTGGATAGCCTTTCGCCTGCCGTCGGCCTCTATGAAGGAGGAACCGACGTTGTCGTCTCCGGCAAGAATTTCCCGGATAATACAACATTTCCCGGCTTCCCAGAAGTACTGTGTAAATTCGATATATACATATTCGAGGGCCGCCGCATTGACAACACCTCGGTTGTGTGCGAATCCCCGGCCGTTGTCTATCACTGCAACTCCAGTGCTGTTGGATGCAACAGCAACGACAGTCTCGAAGTGTCTGTGACATTGAGCTTCAACGCAGGTCGAGACTGGAGCTTCACGTAGGGACATGTCCAGGTTGAATCGCTCTACTCCTTGTATTAGCTCAGTGAACTTCACATATGCTCCACGGAGTTCGATAGTATCCCTTTGGCCATCCTTTGGCCCGGCCACTGGAGGCACAAGACTCACCGCGTTAGTCGTCACCAGTGAATTCTTGGTCCGCAACTTTTGTGTCGGCGATCAAGTCATGCCGGTGACCAGCAAGGCCTCGAATGGCAACGCGACTATCACCGAAATCGAAGGCATCGTACCACCACTGCAACGAAATGGTATGAGTACCTGCCGCTTGTAGGCATAAGACCTTACGCCTCAGACACAACGAGAATTAGCACTTGGACAGTCGGAGTTTCCACGATGCAGGATGATGGTCGTTGCTTAGAGAGCTCCAATAACTTCACCTACGTCGACATGTGGAATGTAGAGAGCGTCGAGCCAACCCAGGGAATCTTCCAGAATGTCCACGACTCAGCGGCCCTGTTGGTCACTGGCAACAACTTCTATATGCATTCTGATGCTGTGTAAATGAACCTCTACTCTGTGACAACACCGACAGCTCAGGTGTCGATTCTCGATATCGATGATGGTCAACGCTAGTGCTTTGGGTACTGCTGCCTACAACGTGTCCTGGCGCTATGGTGACTTGTCTAAACGCGCCTTGGCAGTGAGGATCGCATCTGACCTCGAATGGCTATTGCTATAGTCAGGACCTGCTGTCTCAACGAGACTGTGATGTCCAAGTGCCGGCCAGGGTGTTGGACTGGAACCGCCTCATGTGTGGTCCAGAGTTCGGCGTTGACTACATTGATCGGACCATAGCGGCATGTGGAAGTGATCTGTTGGCTGCTGCGTTGTCTTCCGAGACGAGGTTGGTCGAATTCTCATTTACCGTACAGACATAGGCTCAGGTACACCATCGTCCTTTCGTCTCTCAAGATGGCCGTCGCGGTGGCCATGAATGGTGTTGACTACTCCCCGGCGATCACTTACGATGCCGACCAGGCTTGGGGTCTGTTGTATGCGGTTTTCCTAGCACCACAGATCGTCGGTTTTCTACCGGCTAAAGGGCCTGAAGTTGGCGGGTACGGAAGTTTGGTTTTTCCATAGAAAGATGATAACATTTGATATCAGATATCCTATAGTACTGCAAGTCTCTGGATCAACTGCATGGAGAGTCACCAGTTGTCGCTTCCAGCCGGTGGAGGGTGCGCCGAATCAAGTGGGCCACTGGGTTGACGTCCCCGCGACCACCATATCGGACCATGAAGTACGTGGCAGGTTTTCGTCCTTTTGCTTCGAATTGTTGTCGTCTCAGATAAGTTGCATCGCCCCCCTTTGGCATATTGAGGACGGCAATAGAACAGCTGTTGTTAGTATATCGTTGGAGATCTCCGAGACACTGTGGACCAACAGCACTCAATTTACCTACTACAAGTCGCCTAGTATCAAACACATTGATCCTGCTGAAGGCCCACACGAGGGAGGCACCCGTGTTACTGTCTATGGTGAAGGTGAGCTATTTGAAGTCACCAACCTTAGCCTGCTGGTGCTCCATTGTTCAGGTTTCGACTTGTATTTGGTCCGTGATGGTCTTGGATCTGGCATGTCTTGTATCTTCGGGCGCACCGTGGTCACCGCCCACTACCTCTCCCCTACTGAGATTTTCTGTTTTACTCCACCGAGCACAACTGCATCACCAAGTGTCAAAGGTGGACGCTATCACTAGGGTCTGATTGAAGTTGCCATCTTAGGGCAATATGTGAATCTCGACCTGTCCCTCGACTTCGGGCCGACACCTGGTGTCACCAGTGTCACCATGATGCCTTTATATCAGCAGCTGTTCTACTATCGATTCGTTCGTTTTTCTGTCACCAGCGCGAGACCGCTATCAGGACCACGGAGCGGTGGTACACTTGTGGACTTATATTCGGACGCACCCTTTCCGACCACTGACCTCCTTAGCTGTGGTTTTGGAAGACAGCTGGTCGTAGCCCAGCAATTATCCCCGTATCACATCAACTGTATCGCTCCGTCTGTTGGGGCGCCGGGCGTGGTCAACTTGTCACTTTCGGCTGACAATCAGACCCGTTCAGAGCTGACTGTGATTGACAACACGACTTTGACAACCATTCCCTTGCAGTTCACCTATTACTTCGGTGCCACTGTAGCTTCCGTGTCACCATCATTCGGTGGGACTGAAGGAGGCACGCGGGTCCTCTTGCGAGGCTCTCATTTCCTTGACTCCCCTGATCTGTCATGTAAATTCGGCACCACTGTGGTGACTGTGAGAAAATTCATATCCCCCAGTGCTATCGTATGCGAGAGTCCACCTCATCCGGAAGAAACTGTTGTCGTCAGCGTTGCCAACAATGGGAGAGATTTCATAAGCGGAATTGGTAAAGGACTTCATATGTGTGAGTGAATAGTCCCTTCAGGCACTGTGTACGATTACATGGCGTCAAAGCCACAGTTCATTCTCGATCCTTTTCTCGGACCAGTGTCCGGTGACACTCGAGTGACCATCCGAACGGCCGACCCGCTTTCCATACCGCGAAGCATATGGCAAGCGGCCATGAGTACCGCCTTCTGTATTTTCGGGACATTGAGAGTAACAGCAGCAGTAGACGTGGACTCCTCCTCGCTAGTGTGTACATCTCCGCCTACCACTGAGCCTGGCGAAGTCCGTTTGATGGTTTCCCTCAATGGTCACGATATTGAGGACGCGTCACAAGGGTTCCTCTATTATTCTTCACCTAATATTACTCTTGTGGAGCCATCCATGGGCCCACAAGGGCAAGCGACTTACATTACCCTGAGTGGGGGCGGGTTCATTAACACTCATTTTCTCACCGTCATGTTCGGCGGAATCTCGGCTATCGGCGAGAGTATACCGTATAAGACCAGAAAGGCTATGTGGCTGAGCGACTCTCGAATCCAAGTCGAAAGTCCCGAGTTGTCCCCTTCTGGAGAGCTCCGGGTTCCCTTGTATATATCCAACAATGGGCAGAACTTCTCGCCAGATGGTATCGATAGCTGGGACGCTGACGATGATAGTCACGATGACCCAAAATCTTTAAAGTGCGACAAACAGTGTTGGAATATATGTTCGCCTATCTCAGCTGAGTTGTGCGAATTCGGGTAGAAGTGCCCCGAAACTTCCTCAAAATTTCCATATTCTCGCTGGAACATGTAGTGAAGCATGTGCATTTTTCCCCACACTGTTGATATGATACGTTATCACTGATGGAGTCCATTGATAGCTGTTCAGATACTATACGTTCCACTTGCCCGTTGCCGTTTACAGTGTGTCACCGCGAGAGGGCAACATCCACGGAGGTGGGCTGGTCTCGGTAAATGGTGGGCCCTTTGTGAAGACTTCGAATCTCCTTTGCTCTTTTGATTGGGTTCATGTGGACCCTACAGTGGCTCGACCAGTCGTGGTATCGAGCACGCAAGTCCTTTGTCCAGTGCCGGACATGTGGGACGCGAGGACAGCCGATGCTTTGAATCGGCGAGCTAAGATACGCATCACTTTGAACGGCATAGACTGGAGTCTTTCCTACGCGACGTTCACTTTCTACAGTATGAGCCCACCAGGATTCACAACTCACCACACGGGCGAACTGACGTTCACATCGCAAATTCGGTCATGCCCTGCAGGCCACATGTGCGAGGAATTCGGTCTGAGCCACCCGTTGCCCTGCCCTCCAGGAAGCTATCAGCCTAGGGTTGGCAGCAGACAGTGCCTTGAATGTCCTAAGGGATATTATTGCCCTCGTGTGAGGATGGAGAGACCTGTGATTTGCCCAGCTGGATGGGTGTGTGACGAGGAAGGGCTGATGACTCCGTACAAGCGTTGTCCAGCTGGCTTCATTTGCTTAGAAGGAACTGCCACGGGTTCAGAGGCCCCTGTGGTGACCACTCTTGTTGAATCCAATAATCCTAATATCAATACTGCCGGACTGAACGCCCCTAAACTATGCCCGAGAGGACTGCACTGTTATCCGGGTACTCTTGCACTGCGATCGTCCCCGGGCAATTTGAGTACCCCACAACCTTGCTCACAAGGTTTCTTCTGCCCCCCAGGGAGTGCCATGCCTTATGGTGCTGGTGCTTGTCCACCTGGGAAGTACTGTCCTGTCCCTCGCTCAGCTGGGATAGTGTGTAAACCTCGGTTCAGATGTGGACCGATGCCTGGGCAATTCGAACCCACTGAATGTCCTGCGGGGACATTTAATCCCTATCACGGCCAGCACAACTGCACATTGTGTCGTGAGGGAGGCGTATGTCCATTCCCTCTCATGGACCGACCCAAGCCGGCTGAGTGTGGTTATGTGGCTGCGAGAAAAGGAATCAAGTCACACTCTGGAAACGACTTGTGCCCGGCTGGCAGAATATGCAGCTGGGGTGTGGCGACCACCAGCGAACCTAAAATTTGCACGACGATCTCGTATGATTCAGCGGTGAACATTTCTTCCCTTGAGGAGTCGTGCAAGTCTGAGCTCGGACAGGCCTTCGTCCCTCGGGAAAGGGCGCGCCTGGTACGCATAGGCGGGGTCGTTCCTAATACGTGGAATGACTCGTTGGGTCTATGCT